CTGACATCTTTGCTCTTCAACACTTTAAAAAGATATTGTGCAGTGGATTTGCCTAATGCAATATGCCATTTGATTTCTTAACTGCTGCTTCTATGAGTGTTGATAGTTGATCCCATAAGGTCCAAGAAGGATGAAGTCCTTGATAACTTCAATCTTTTCTCCTAAGAATGCTCCTTAGAAGCCAGGATATTGAGACTTGTCTCTCATACTTCAGATATGTTATCAGGAGGGACTTCCCTAAAGAAGGAACTTGGTAAACTGGAGGGTGGAAGAAACAAAAGAAAGAACCTCCAATGAGATGATTTGAAACAGTGGCAGCCGCAATGGGCTCAGATACAACACAATTATGAGAATGGTACAGGACTGGGCAGTCTTTTCTTTTATGGGTTATAAGTGACTCAACTGTACCTAGCAAGTAGCAACATGTAAATCAATGCCCAAGCATAAGCTGATACATTTTTCTGAAGAATTGCTCAATTATTTTATTTACTTACCTTGACAACACACAAGACTGCTTCATTTGTATTTGGATCTGTTGAAATTTTGAAGTTTCCATTTTCATTTCCTTTTAGGATGGTGTATACAGCCTTAGAGTGAGGAGTATTGGGCAAATCCTTGTCAAATACCTTCATTCGTAAAATCTCAACATTAATTCGGTTTTCTTCTACTTCTGCAAAGTACTGAAACAGTTGGCTCTTATTAACACAAATTCATAGTTTTAACATTATGATTTTCTGTTCAAAAATTTGCCTTAAAAAAAGTGATGTGGAAATGTGCACGCATCTTTTGGAAAAGAATTTACAAATGTAATGGTTAGCTTACTTCTTTCCACCGCACACTGCTTTTTCAAATGTTACCCAATCTTCAAAGACTAACGCATGCCTCAGCTGCTCAGCTTCTCTGAGACGATTTTCCTGACCTTCAGATTTGCCCCTTCTATTTGTCTCTACCTGAAGATCTATAATATCTACAGTCAAATGTTTCCTTTTTGGTCATACTAAGAACTTTGTAAATCTTCTATATTAAGATATTAAAGTATTCAATATTTGTAGATACTTATACATAGCTGTCGTATAATTGTTAGGTACTTTATCACACCAACCTTTTTACTTTTGATTAGGTAACAATTAATATACGGAAAACATTTTACCTTTTTTGACAAATTAAATTATTGTTCTATTCTTCCCCAACCCATAAAACGTGGAAATGAGTGAATCAGAATCTGCTAGAGATATAAGATGAATTTGTAGAAGAATGACAGTAACTGGAACCTAACAACTCTGATTTTAAACCCAATTTTCCCTCTCACAAGGCCAATCATTTTCACAGAAATCATATCTTTCTCCCTATGCTATTTGTAAGTAGCAAGTATTTAATCAAAATTCATAATATCACAGAACTACCAAATTCTAGATTTTTAAAAAATAAGCGAACGTAAGTAAATGAATAGAGAAGTATACTCACAGATGTTTCTGTGAACATTGGTGAATTGTCATTTTCATCCAAAAGTGAAATAGTGATGGTTCCTGTATTAAATAAACCAAAAGGTTGACCCCCCATGTCCCGCACTTCCATTATTATCTTGTATGTATCGCATAGCTGGAAAAAAAAGAAAAAAAGAATTGATAAATACTTCTATTTCCGGTAACTTGGAATTCTTATCACCACTGTACAGCCTCTGATTATTTACAAATATTCTTTTCTATAACATATTAAAAAAAATAAAACACACACACACATAACACCATAAATAGAAAAACAGAGGAAGAGATTATACAATTGGTATAATGACAAGTCAGTGTGCCCACATGAAAACAAATTGTCCAATGGACTAATGGAAAACATGACCATCAGTCTCCATGACCCTGGGGCCAAAAGAACTAGATGGTGTCCAATTGTCACTCTTAACTGCTCTGAAAAGTATCACAATAGAAGTTCCTAGACATAGTAGGAAAAAATATATAGAACAAAACTCAAAATCATATATGTAAAAAGACCAGTCTTACTGGTCAACTAGAGCTTGCTGGAACCCATGGAACCGTGTCTCTTCATCACCTTCACGTCTAGAGCTGAACTCACCCCTGTGACTCAACTTTCAACCAAACAATAGATAGCTCTCTAAAGGGAACAGTGACACTAATGAGGTAGGCAAGTACACCTTAGAATAATCAACCACTTGAGATCAAAAGGGCAGCATTTATCCAAGGACAAAGTTTTGAAGGGTTGGAAAAGAAAGAGGAATGGAAATAGGAGGAAGTGGGACACGTGATGTTACATTGAGGGGATTGTAAACAGTGAAATGAAACAAAATGTGTAAGAATTGGTGAATGTAAAACTGAGTATCTGCTCTGTAAACCTTCACCCAATTCACAATAAAAAATTTTTTAAAAATAAAATAAAATGTATTTTTCTAACATAACATTTTAAAATTTAAAGCTCTTTTTAGCTTCAGCACATCAAATTAAGTGAAACCTTATTTAATGTCTTATAGCTTACCAATACGTCTATTGGTACAAAGTAATTCTCTAGAGAAACCCTGGCGAAAGTTGAAGAGAAGCATATTTGAAGAAGTGGTCAGTTGACTTGAGAGTTTATTATTTGTTTAAATATCACTTAGTAATTCAGAAATAAATAAAATGATTAATTACTTCTCTATCCAGGAAAGGTGTAGCTGCTGTGATAACACCTGTTTCTGGATGTATAGAAAAATGCTTTGGATGATCTGGAATTTGTTGTAAGATTCTATATCTCAGGCGAGTGTGTAAGGTGTCAGGTTCATCGTTGTCTATCGCTGTCACTTGTCCTATTGAAGTTCCTGTTTAGATAAATGCAATACAGTAAAAAAAAAAATTAATTAATAGTAATATAATTTTATGGCAAACAAAAATAGAATAAAAGAATTACTGTAGACAATTCTCCCTAAAGGCTACAAGTAGAGTTGCTTTACAGATAAATTGAAGAATATAAAAATGTTCTCTCTAACTTCTAAGATTTCACTCCTTCCATTATTTCACTCCTAGCTTGAAAATTGGACACTAACTGATTTGTACTTATTTGTACTCTTCATGTTTATGAGTAAGGGATTTTCTTTCTTGTTTCTTCCCACTTTGGCTCCTAAATTTTTCCCTTCTACTTCCTGCCCCAGTTTATGGACCATTTTTGTATAGGTCCTTCTCTCTTTTGTAGCTCAACTTGATCATGTTAATTATAGGACTAGCACAGATTAGTATATAACAACAAACATTTTATACATTTATTTTTAATAAACATGTTGTTTTTAATGTATTCGTGTAATAGACATCATAACATCATAAACATTATTATGCACCAGTCTGAGTCCCTTGTATAATCTTAATCCAATACCAAATTACCGGAAACGTTGCTTTAGCAAAACACTTGTTTGGAAATATCAATATTATACATATGGTTGTGCATGACAACAGAATGGAAGACACTATAAGAATTAATAGTATTCCTTGCCAATTAAAAAAAACAAAACAAAAAACTGGAGAGCATTGTTATGACCTCTCTGGTATGGTTTAGATCACAATCTTGGCTGAATGTATTTAAAACCAGTTTTAAACTTATTTTTAATGCGTTCAGAAGATATGCCAAACAAAACAATTCATCTGTTGTTATTAATCAGATAAGCATTTCTAAGTCATGATATAATGTTGGTCCTTGAAAATGTAATAAACATTCTTTAGTAAGATTCAGGTAGTTTACTGCTTTATAAATACTATGTGACATACAGGCTCATGGCAAAAATAAAGTGAACTGAAACAGCATTCACCTGTCACACATCTCAGTTTCATTGTAAATTATTTTAACTAGTTAGTGACTTCATGTTAGCTGCCATCTATAAATGCATAATGAAATAACCATGAAGAGGTTTGAAAAGGGTCTTACAAGATCTTACAAGACTGTCAAGTGTTACATGTTGTTCGTTGCTGTTGAGTCCATTCTGACTCATAATGATCACCTGTGTTCAGGGTAGAACTGCACTCTAGGAAGTAATTGAAGCGTATTGACAGGCCTTACTTTTAAGGTGCCTCTGAGTTGGTTTGAACCATTTGGTTTGTAACCGAATACTCAACCATTTGTGCCACCCAAGGACTCCTTAGTATAGCCTTAAAAATCAAGTATTTTAAAATGTTCTACATAATCCTGTTAAAAATATGAATGGGAATTCAACTGAAGTAAAAATTTCGTGTTTCCCTAAAATTGCTAGTTTATGGTACATTGGTTACAAGTTTAGACTAAAATGAAAGCTAACACCCATTGACCATTTACTAAAGGGAATTCAGGAACGCAACACTGATGTAAAGACTTCAATAAAAACTGTAACTCCACCTGTGTAGTCTACACAGTCAGTCCTTTTGAATTTTGAAAATGAAATTTCAAAATTTGAATTTCTATTCTATTAAATAGAAATATTATTTAGCACCCTATAAATAAACTTTTTTATATCATTATATATATATATATATATAATTCTCTTCTGGCATTTTTCCTGGTTTAGAAGGGAAAGTTCAACTTTTCCTAAACATGACCTTCCACATAGATTTGTTGTTGTTGTTGTTTTTGAGTCAGTTCTGACCCATAGCAACCCTGTATCAGGTTGTCTGAGGACTAGTTGGTGAGTTTGACTTTGCAGTCCATAGCACTACACCAGGATTCCACATATCTTTAGATAATGAAAATTTTAGAAACAAATGAATAAATGAAAACAGAAAAAATAATAAATAAACCCTCTCTCTGGAAGACAAAATGGTTCTTGGTCCTTTTATAATTCCCTGTGTTGTAGTTTCTATGAATTCCTATCTACTTCCTTTTATACTAACCAACTGGTTTCCACAATTCAACAACTGAGCAATCAATCCTCTTATCCATAGACAGCACATGCAAACCAAAAACTAACTTCATCAATAACCCAACATAGAAAATACTGAGTCTAGTAAATATTACTGATATTACAATGTTGTGATATAAAAGAGAAAAACAGATTAAATTTTACCTTATAAATATGCCTAAATTTAAGAAAATTGACCCAGAGCAATTTAAGACCCTTAGTAGTGACATCCTCTAACATCAGTTTCTGAAGGAGAAATAAGTTCTTAATCAGAAATACCCCAAAAAAGCATGAAATGTAATGATAAGTAAAAAGCCTAAAAATTATGACAAACAATCTTATCATACATGCTTGAAAATGTGAACTTACCAATTCTGCAGTTTTCAGGCACACTAAAAGTAGTCAACTTGTTTTCAAAATATGGGGCATTATCGTTATCATCCTCAATTACAATTACGATGGGGAGTGGATACTCTGGTGCATAACCATCTGAGGTTGTTGCGTAGCCATAGAGCTAAAAGGTAGAAATACTCTAATGAGCTTGTTTGCAAATGACAAATTATGCACATATGTAAACCTAGCAGTGGGAAGATGCAACATTATAAAAAGCTTCCACAGAGGTACATGAAACTCAGAAATTATGTACACCAGCACATGCAATATGTCTACTCCATGTGACTTCATCTTCTTTCAAGTAATTTCTCATTATTCTCCTACTAAGTACCCTGCCCTACTACTGAATGCAGCTATTTTTTTCTCTAGCTTAACTGCTGGTGAGACTCCTGCTGTGGCACTGTAGACTCAGCACTGGATGGCAAACCACAACGTCATTGAAATTTACCAACTGGTCCTTGGAAATCCTAGATTGGGTCATCATGAATCAGAACAGACATGATGTCACTTAATAATAACAACAAATTAATTGAAGAGTGCTTTATTTGTTAGAATGTATGTAGATCTCTCCCAATTATACTAGCAATAAGTACTTTTTAAAAGTATATAAAACATTATCTTATTTATCTATAGATTTATACAGGTGGTTGTTGTTGTCAGGTGATGTTGTATTGCTTCCAAACTATTGTGTTTCCAAGGAGTGACTGGTGGGCTTCAACTGTTAACCTGTTGTTTA